CCAACCCCCCCCACCAACAGCTGTTGCCACATTTGCTTCCCCAACTCCTAGATGCCCTTGGTTTGCTGACCTCCCCGCTCACCCTCTCACCCTCTCACTTTCATTTGCTTGCCTGTTCTCTGTTCCTTACGTGTCCCAGGTGCCAGGATGGTGGGGGAACTCCGCTACAGGGAATTCAGAGTGCCCCTGGGCCCCGGCCTGCATGCCTATCCAGAGGAACTAATCCGCCAGCGTGTGGGCCATGATGGGCATCCCGAGTACCAGATCCGCTGGCTCATCCTCAGGCGTGGGGACGATGGGGAAGGAGGTGCGAGCCAAGTGGACTGCAAAGCTGAGCACATCCTGCTATGGATGTCCAACGATGAGATCTATGCCAACTGCCACAAGATGCTGGGCGAGGATGGCCAGGTCATCGCGCCCTCCCAAGAGACTGCAGGGGAGGCCGGGGCCCTGGACAAATCGGTGCTGGTAGAGATGGAAACAGATGTGAAATGTCTGATTCAGAGGGCCCTTCGGCAGCTGGAGGACTGTGCGGGCACCACCCCTCCTGCTCCTCTGCTTCACACTGTCCATGTGCTCAGCGCCTATGCCAGCATCGAGCCCCTCACTGGGGTCTTCAAAGACCCAAGGGTCCTGGACTTGCTCATGCACATGTTGAGTAGCCCTGACTATCAGATCCGCTGGAGCGCGGGCCGCATGATACAAGCCCTGGCCTCCCATGATGCTGGTGAGGGGCAGTGTGGGGAGGAAGGGGGAGCAGAAGAAGGGCTGGGTCGGCTCGGGGCCTCAAAGGACACTGTGGCAGGAGCCTCTGACCTCTTCAGTACGTAAATGATTCTGTTGTCCTCTTTGGAAGAAGGGGAGGTGGGTGTGGGCAACTCTGCAGAGAAAGGACTGAATCCCCAAGAACCTCCTGTTCATTGGCTTCCTATACAGAGGAAGAGTTTAGACTATTAGACTGTTAAACTATGAGGTTATTGCAGTATAGAATCACATGCATGAGCAAAATAGTTCCGAATTATGCAGCAAATCATGCCATTCCTAGTGTGTGATGGGAAAAGAATTGTAGTGACGGGAGCAGAAGGCCTCAGAGAGATCCTGGGAAGGGTGATAAGAGGGAGCAGTCACTGATTGGAATGTGGGTTCCAGGGACCCGGACCCAGATCCTGCTGTCTCTGAGCCAGCAAGAGGCCATTGAGAAACAACTGGATTTTGACAGCCGCTGTGCTCTGCTGGCTCTGTTCGCACAGGCCACACTCTCTGAACACCCCATGTCTTTCGAGGGCATTCAGCTGCCGCAGGTATTCTGTGGAGGGTTTGGGTGGGGAGCCGAGAACAAAATCTAGGGACCATGCCTTTGCATCTGTCCACAGTGGGCAGTGTGCTGAGCGAGGCTACCGCTGGGACAAGGTGGACCGTAAGTCAAAGGTTGTGACCCACAGGTCCCTGGAAGGCTGCTCTTCTCCCTGGTGAAGCACTACTTATATGTCACCTCCCTGTTGGATCAGCTAAATGACAGTGCTGTGGAAGCCGGAGCCCAGAACAACGCTGCTCCTGAGGAGCTGAGTGGGGAGAGGGGTCGTCTGGAGCTGGAGTTCTGCATGGCCATGGGCACGCTGATCTCAGAGCTGGTGCAGGCCATGCGCTGGGATTGGACTTCGAGCAAGGAGGGGCCCTCCACACGGTCCTCCTGTTCCATCTTCCAGCCCCAGTTAGCAGAAGCAAGTCCAGGGCTTCCCCCTGCCCAATCTCGGCCCTTACTCAGGAGGTCAAGGCGCTTTCGCCCTCGCTCTGAGTTTGCAAGTGGCAATACCTATGCTTTGTATGTGCGAGACACCCTGCAGCCGGGGATGCGCGTGCGGATGCTGGATGATTACGAGGAGATCAGCGCCGGCGATGAGGGCGAGTTCCGGCAGAGCAACAGTGGGGTGCCCCCCGTGCAGGTGAGCAGTGCGATGTGGAGACAACACTGGGGGATCTCATGGGGGAGGCAGACTTGGAGCTTCATGCAGGGGCCTCTGGAATAGAAGCCATCGATAAGATTGGGATGGCAAGAGGGGGTCAAACAATGGGGTGGGGGGAGCCTTTTGGAGGCCTGGCAAAAATCTGGGATTAGGAGGCTATGAGGTCAAGAAGACTTTCCCAAAGCAAGACATTCCCAAAGGTCGGATCAGGGATGCAGGGTAGTTGAGGCCAAGGTGAAGTATAGGGACGTGAGCTGTGAAGAACAGGTCGAGGAGAGTGTGTTTGTACGTATGTTCATGTTCTCCGAAGGCCAGTGGGTTGCTGTTTGCGGATTTTCCCAAACCTGGCCTGAGGACTGTTTCTCCCTGTCTTTGGTCCACAGTCAGTGGTTAAGTGAGTCCTCCCCCGCCCTTGCCCCCATGTTCTCCAGGTGTTGTGGGAGTCGACAGGCCGCACCTATTGGGTGCACTGGCACATGCTGGAGATCCTGGGCTTTGAGGAAGACATTGAGGATGTGATCGAGGCTGAGGAGTACCAGGGGGCGGTGATCAGTGGAGCGCTGGGTATAGGTGAGCCCAGAGGGGAGCAGGGGGTGAGCTCTGGGCAGGGGAAGAGTGCTCCCCATAGGCGGAGGCATCACTGCCTCTGGCCCCTCGCCACAGCCATGCCCTCCTGGCGGTGGAAGCCCATGGCAGAGCTCTACGCCGCGCCCTACGTGCTGCCCGAGGATGAGGACACTGAGGAGAGTGAACACCTGACCCAGGCCGAGTGGTGGGAGCTCCTCTTCTTCATCAAGAAGCTGGATGGACCTGACCATCAGGAAGTCCTGCAGATCCTCCAGGAGAATCTGGACGGAGAGGTAGCGACAGCCTGGAGACACTCGGGGGTCGGAGGGTCTGTGATAGAGCACGCCGAAGACCCCAGACGGGAAGTAGAGGTTGATAGAGTAAGGGGCCACAGGGCAGGGTTCTGGAATGTTCGGAGGTGTTGGTAACCTGATGGGAGAAACCAGCTGCCAACCAGGGGGAGGTTCAGGAGGGAGAGGGTTCAGACAGAGACCCCCACCTTCACGAGGGCCCTGGAGCCTCAGGGCTGGCTGGGATGCCTGCACTGAGCAGTTCTGCTTGGTGACAGATTCTGGATGATGAGATCCTGGCTGAACTGGCTGTGCCCATGGAGCTGGCACAGGACCTGCTGCTGGCGCTGCCTCAGCGACTCGATGACAGCGCACTTAGGGACCTGCTCAACTGCCGTGTCTACAGGAAATACGGGCCCGAGGCCCTGGCGGGGCAGCTGGTCTACCCATCCCTGCTAGAAGCCCAGAACCAACCCCAGGAATCAGCAGATGCAGCCAAAGTGAAAGGTGGGGCACCAGACAGACAACACCAGCTCTGCAGACTGGCCTGGGAGGGCATTAGCCTGGCAGAGAGATCTTTGCAGATTTATATGCAGTCCTGTCTGGAAGAGATAGCAACTGAGGAAGAATCTGAAACTTAGAGATAAACAATCAATGGGCATACAGCCACCGAAGTTAGAAATTTGAAAAAGAGACTAGCACCTTAAAAAGTCCCCACATTTAACTTTACTGCATGCTTTAGATATGGGGAAATGCTCTGCTCTTAGCAGACAGGAAACACTTTAGTTGTTTAGCGATTTTATTATATATGTATTTATTTGTTTAAATATTTATTTATGCATACAAGAACTGGGGTATAGGCCAGAAGTGTGGGGGATGAGACAGAGTGGGGAGCAGAACAGGCAGTATACTGAAATGCACTGCTGAGGCTCAGGGGAACGTGAGAGAGACAGGAGATGTCTGCCGCACCGTGTGGGTCACCTCCCTGGTAGGGAATCGAACTTGTGATACAGTGGCTGCAGATGGCTTCATTGTGTTGTTGTGTTGTGCTTTAACCCATTGTGCCACTAGGGAGGGCCCTAGCTATTTTTTTTTTTAAGATTTGTTTATTTATGCATACAGAACTGGGGTACAAGCCAGAGGTGCAAGGAAGATGAGAGGATTCACCAGAGACAGTGTGGGGAGCAGAACAGGCAGACTGACTGAAATATACAGCTGAGGGGAGCAGCGGGCGGGTCAGGAGAGGTCTGCCGTGCCATGTGGGTCAGCTCCCTGGCCAGGGATGGAACTTGTGTTGCAGTGACTACCGATAGCTTCGGTAGTAGTGCTGAGACTTAACCCCTGTGCCACCAGGGAGGCCCCACAAACCTAACTTTTCAAACAAAAAGTATCAAAAAATTTTAGGAAAATTTGGGAAATAAGATTGAGATTTATGAATCTGTCTCTCCTTTCCTGACCCTTCACTAACGGTGACTTCCCCCTTCCTCTAGCAAAAGACCCCGCGGCTCAGTGCCCTAGCACTCCCCTGCAGCAGCTGGTGGAGGGTTATGGTCCGACTGGGAAGATCTTTCAGGATCTGGAACGAGCTTTCAGCTCAGACGGGGCCCAGGAGAGTGAGGTCAAGCCGATCCTGCAGCAGCTCCTGCGGCAGCCCCAGCCCTTCCTGGTGATGATGCAGAGCCTCGACACCCCAGCGGCCAACAGGGCCCTGCACCTGGCTGTTCTCAGGTGAGGGGGAGATTCGAGGCAGGTTCAGGCAATAGGGTCTCTGAGGCTGGCTTCCATTCTCTCCTCCCACCTCTTGCTCCCCAGAATCCTGAAGCAGCTGGCAGATATCCCTGAAGCCCTGCTGCTCCCCTGGCATGAGGCCATGGACGCCTGCATGACCTGCCTGCGGTCCCCAGACACTGACCGAGAGGTACCCCTGCCCGGCCGTGGGGAGTGGTGGGAGGGAGAGGGCAGCCTCTGGGGTGGCCAGCCCCCCAGGGTGAGGCTCCGGAGGCTACAATGGAGCATTTGCTCTTGCTTTGGGTTGTTTTTTAAATTTCGAATTTCATTTTTTGAAATAGGTAATACACTCCCACTGTTCACATATCAAAATGATATAGAGAAGGTAATACACTGAGAAACCTCTCACCTGAGTTCCTGTTCTAATGCCCCTTCCACACCCCTTGTTGATAACCACTTGCATTAACTCACGTAACCCTCCTCTGGTTCCTTCTGCACCCGGCACATATATAAGAGATCTTGTTTGCAGAGTGAAATATGTGTGTGTTTCTATATAGATACACACATTAGAGCCTCGGTGACTCCTTTTTGGCTGGCATGTGGGAAGAAGGGGAATGAAGGAGGCAGCATCCCTTGCCCCAGAAGGCCCTGGCACAGATGCTTGGCAAGGGGCCAGCGAACTAGGTCATGGTGTCGGGGACTCTGTGTAAAAGCACAGCCCTGCCTGGCCCCATCTCTTCTGCCTGTTTGGGGGTCTGCGCATCTCACAACACAGCCCTGCAGTTGGTTCTTGGGACAGCCGGGCCTGAAAAGAACAAATCTGGGGTTCTCTACCCCTCTTGCCAGCACAATCAGGAGCTGAGAACCCAGAGTGGCAGGGCAGCTCTGGCCGTTCCCATTTCTGTTTGCTCTTGGCTCTCTACATCACCAGGCTCTCTTGTGCCCTCCTGGCCTGTCCTTTTACTTCTCGCTTTGTAGAGAAGTAAAGATGAAGATGCCCTCATGGCCTCCCTGGTAATGCAGGAGTTAAAGTCTCAGTGTTATCAAGCTATCCGCAGCCACTGCAGCCTGAGTTGGATCCCCACCCAGGGGGGCAGCAGGTCTCTCTCTCATCTCAGCTGCTGCTCCCCTCAGCAGTGTATTTCAGTCAGTCTGCCCATTCCCGCCACTCTGTCTCTGGTGAGTCCTCACACCCCGCCTCTGACTTGGACCACAGTTCTTGTATGCATAATAAATCTTTTTTTTTTTTTAAGATTTATGTATTTATTCATACAGAACAGGGGTACAGGCCAGAGATG